AATAAAAAATTTATATCTTTATGTTTGAAGCCTGAAATGTGGCAAAAGGTTGAAAAGTTCAAGGGGGCCGAATACTTTCGCAAGGCACTGTATATATATTCATAATGATATTTGATGTAACACTTTAATTTAAATGACTGACCCTGCGTTCTGATCCCAAGCTTCTCTCCCTGTCTGTGTGTCTCATGGAGAGCAAGTTGGGGTATGCGAAAAGACAAATTTCTAATACAAGAAATTGTATATGGCCAATCAAGTGATCTTATCTTATCTTTAATTGTTGCATTTTTTAATACATGAGTAATGTTTCAAACTTCTGCAGGATGAGTAGTTATTTGTCCTGGAACCAGCTACTTTCAATTGAAAAGTGTGAATCAATGTTGTAGGTGGACTGTAAAATAGCAAGTACAGCAAGCAGTTTGTAAATAAATATATGTATATGCTATCCCTTAAAATATAATTGCATTTATTCAGCTGTTGTCAGGTCATCTGAGATGACTTTTTATTGATTGGCAAGTTCATGGTGCATGCACTCTACGTGTGAAGCATGAGAAGTGATAAGACTATTGTCCAGTGTTTCTAAATGTTTTTCTTGTTCTTCATTAAAAACTGACTATTAAAAAATAGCACAACTTGGTGGTTGCATAGCAACAAAAACCTTTCAGGACCAACCTTGGAAATACTGCTTGGTAAAACTATGAAAAATGCACTGGTTTATAAAAAAATGCTAAAATAGATAGCTTGTATGTATTTGCGTCAAACATAATCTGAAAAGCAAAATGGTTATCATATTTAAAGAAAATGCTTATGGCTTAATGATTTTTTAAAGGTTAACTTACTGCAGGGAAAAAATGATGACGTTTTATAGAATTGTCTCTGTTTAATACTGGACATTGTCTGTTACATTTTTTCTGTTTATTTTGTTTTTATTTAGTTTGACTTTGACACCAAGAGCATATTCTGGACATTCCTTTCAATGCTAAGAAGCTACTATTCTTCATGTGTCAGGGATCCTTTGTTTTACCTGAAAAATCTTCCCTGAAGTTCAGTTTGCAGGTGTTCATAAGGATTTAGATTCAAACATCCTATACAATCCTATAATTTTCGTGTTTGTTTGGTGGGAGGAGGGTGAGTTGCCTTTGGATGTTGCTTATTCTTTTTCAGTATTGTCAAGTGACAGATAAGATTGTTGAAGGCTTGGAGCCTTTAATGAATGATTATGCAAATCAAAATAAAACAAAGAAGGTAGGTAAGCACATGCATTGTTAGAAGTTCTGTAAATCGTTTGAAAACATGGCTGCAGCCCATTAAAATCTCAACTGAATAATGCTGCAGGAGCTGGAGAGTTAAGCTAATATATCATTGTTATCTCTCTCTACCCTCTCTGCTATTTCAGGCTTGCTGCAAGGAGCTTTACTTTCAAACCTGCAGAGCAAGAAGAATTGCTGCACGGATTGCTTCAGGAGGAGATTGCCATGTATGCATCAGTAATTGGGTTGGGAATTGTGAGGAGGAAGGTTTTTTTTATAAACCTCTAATGTAGTTTTCCTGTTGCTGTCTCTGTCCCAGGCTCCCATGCCTCCTGGTCTGGCTTCCATGCCCTTACGTGTTATTTGTTCCCCTGTTCCGTCGGGGTTTATTTTAGTTGTTTGTGACTTTTTGCTTGTTCAAAGACCTCCCTTCCTCTACTCAATAAAGGTTTTTTTACCCCGGAGTAGGGGGTAGCTCTCAGCCGTGGACTCCCGGAGGTTTCCTTTCAGTCAAATGAGGTTTTTCCTCCCCCCAGTGCTGTGCAGCTCTTTTTTTGGGTGTCAGGAGCCACCCTTAAAGGGGGGGTACTGTCACGCCCAGTACATCTAGAGGGTGCTCTGCTTCTCTCCTGTTCCTAGTTCCCTGTGATTATTTATGTCTTTCTGGTGTGTCTTGTTGTGTAGCATATTTACTTCCTGCTTCTGCTCTGCTCCTCGCTCAGCATTGAGGTTTGGATGTCCTGAAACCTGCCTAGCATCAAGTTTCCCCACGTCCTCTACCTGAGGGCATAGGTTTCTATACGGCATTTCCTGAAGAGCTGAGCCCGGGCTAACCCCTGTCTCGCCGCTACGCATAGGGGCCTTTTTTGCTCTCCTGCCATTCCACGGTTTGTCCCTTAGACATCCGTGACAGTCACAAGCTATGGATAGTGACCAGAAGAAAGAGATCACGGGTACAAGGTAAGAAAAGTTTCACCATTGGGCTGCTGGGGTTACTCTCCATGACAGTGTGGAGATCAGCAATCCAAGAGGATCCTGGAATAGAGTCACTGCTTCTCTGTATGGAGAGGAGCCAGTTGAAGTGGTTTGGGCATCTGGTGAGAATTCCCACCTGGTGGCTCCTGGTGGGGTTGTACTGGGCACAGCCGAGTTGGAAGAGAGCCCGGGGCAGACCCATGATATGTTGGAGGGAATATATGAGAAATTAATGAATGAATATTAACAACACAACCGGTTTAGGTTCCTTTACCCAGAAAATAGTCTCATTTTATGTTTTGTAAAAATATACTGTTATCAAAAGTGCTTGAAAGTGACACAATAAATGAAAAGTGGCACAGATAAACATCACCTTCTGCATCTTTCTTTATGAATATTGATATGTGGCTTCTGACAGAAACCACGTGCTTCTTTAAAGAAGCTATACAGTATACTCTGTCTAAACTTTAATAATAATTTTAGTAATAATAGTAATTTTATGTACAGAAGATTTGTATGACTTTGAGAATTTCATTTTGATTAGTTGGTTTACAGCCTTTCGCTAAAAGATGAAAGCTATTGCAAAAACTTTCATGAGGCTATTACTGTACTATACTGTATGTCTCCTAAAATATTTTACTGTATTCCTGGGAGCTGTTGGTTCATATTGGAGTGTCACAATAGTTTGCTTGAAACTTTGTGCTGTATCTACGTTTTAGGCCAAAACTGAATTCTAAAGTAAAGTATTGGTCTCCATTGAGGACAATACTGATCTTAACAAAACTGTGATCAATAAGCATAAGAAATCATGCTAGACAGGTGGTCATTTTCTCACACACCTACTTGCTCACCAACAAAAAGACAATATTCAGTATGACCAACAGCAGATTTATTTTAGATTCATTGTATACCATGTTGTATTTTTATGTTTTAAGCAACATCTTTTCTTGATATAGGAAAAACATGTTTAAGATTGTCGTCTTTTCTTTTAATAAAAGTATTTATTTTTGTATTTTAGTAATGAGAAAGTCAAATGTCTGGAGTTCCTCATTAAAAGTGGAGTTGATGTCAATGCTGTGTATACAGGAGGAGACAGGTACAGTACGTGCATGCTTTATCACTGTATTAAACTGTACTGTCATTGAAAAAAATTAAAAGTGTTAATGGCTGTTTTAGGAAATTGGTGCAAAAAGCATCTGTCTAGTCACTATTCATATCCTTTTTGTAAAGACCAACAAAAACATTATACAGTATACACTTGCAAGTACTGTATATACCCATGGCTCCATGGAACACAAATATTCAGACAAAAGCATGTCTTTCACAGGATGAATTGTGTGATTCTTTATCTTCTAAAACAGAACAAAATATCAAAGCTTAATTCTCTTTACATATGCCCATCTGTTACTTTTCCAGCTTCTTTATTATATTTGGCACAGACACATTTATTCCTGAATAGAAGTGGCATTTTTAAACTAGGGCTCTTATACTGTATGTGCCTAGAACTCAAACTGTGTGAAGGTCAAGTTTTGAAAGATGGCGATGTAATAAAGTAGACTCTCCAGGGTTTATCCTGTTTGTAAACCATTAGCTTCATGTGGTGATCTGCAGAGTGTGAGAAGCCACAACTACACCACAGCAGTCTGTCTTTTTAATTAACTTCTGATTGGAGTCCTGCAAGTTGAACATCACATTGTTACCATCCTGACTGTAATTTTAAGTCTGAGCTTTAACTCCTTTCCTGACAACAGGTCAGGTAATCTGAAACTGCAATGTAATGTAAGTTATTTTCCTGTTTTAATTTCATTACATTACTATGTTACTATTACTATGTAATAACAATTTCTAAATCTAAATTACTTGTGTAATGCTTGTGTAATGTTTTTTTCTGAATGCTTACCACCTGCAAATTGAGAATTAATCACTTATGGGAAATTTTATCATATGCCCTATGTGTATCCATTACTTTTGTTCAAAGAACTCGTAACAGGCTTTACGATTTCTAAATCCATGCCAACTTTTTCAATAAATATTTTCATAGGTGATCCTCTAGTTTATTTATTATAATAATTTTAATTACTGTAGGGTACAGTATATGTAATAGAAGTCAGACTTAACAGTTTGTAATTATTTGGTTCAATTTTCTTACTCTTTTTATGGATGGGTTTTATATAAGTAATTCTCCAGTCTCTGTGTCTTATCTCTGTCTTAAGTTATTGTTCTTAAAGCTGGCTCAATAGCTTCTGAATAAGATCTCACATTTCTATTGAGTATATTAGATAAGATACTATTAAATCCTAGGGATTTATTGAGGCATGTCATTGACATCTTCCTTAGTGAATACTTGAGTGAACTACTTGTTTAGTACATGAGCCATTTCTCTTTCATTGTCTGGAAGGATACCATTTTTATTCTGGATATATTTTACTTCATCCTTGATGGTACTTTTGCTGTTGTGTAACTGAAAGAACATGTTATTTATTTTAGTCCCCATTGCAATATTAACTTTAAATATATTGCTTGGCCTTCTTGATATCCTTTTTTTTACCTGTGTTTTCATTATATTATACTAGATTTCTTTAACTAGTACCTTTTTTCTCTTATATCTTTCTGATTGATTTGTTGGATACAGGTTTTCAGCTTTTCATTTACTTTTGGAACAAATTTGTTCTGTGCTTTAAATAGAATCTAGAAAGCTGCCATCTGTTTTTCACTGATTTCATATCTGTCCTATCCTATTTTACTTTTCTTAAACTGTCACTCAGTCTTTAAAAGTCTGCTTCCTGGAAACTGGAAACTTCTGCTTTCGATTCAGCCTGTGCAGTTTCAAAATACACTCAAGGCATGCAATTTCTCCTAATGGTTCGCCGTTCGCTTTACTCTGTCCTGATTGTTTTGAAAGAAAAGATCTATACAAGCATTTTCTTGAATAAGCTATCTGGCAAATTGGGTAAGAAAGCTGTCATTATCTATGTCTACTGCTTCAACATCTGCATTTGGTGGCCTAAAGCATGCTCCTAACACTATACATTTGAAATGCTTTTTTGTTAGTCTGACCCACAAAGATTCAGAGATTCTTGATTCTTGTACGGTAGCTTAGGTTCCTGAACCTGAGTGATCTTTTTAATACATTTATTGTGGCAACAGAGTGTATTCACTAATGTTACACTCCTCTACGTCAATATTGGTAAGCCAGATTTCTGTGATTCCAATAACATCATAAGTCCCTGGTTATGTCATAGTTACTATCTACTATCTCATGTAATTTGTGTCTAATACTCCTAGAATTTAGGTATAAGCACTTACTGTAATTATTTTTATCTCTTTAGTTCCCCCTTGGTCTTTATTTGCCATATAATTTCCTTTTCAATTAGCTTTGGTGTTTCCCCTCTTCCATTTTCTCCTATAATCCTCATTCCAGTTTAAATGTTTCTGAATTCTCGGATTCGTGTGCCAAGTCGACTGGTGGTAAACAAGAGATGATATGTTGAAACTGCATCCACTAGTGCACTAGTAAAGTCTCATTTAGAAAATTGTGTACCATTTTGGTCACCACACTATAGGACATTCTGGAAGACATTGGCTTTAGTGTGAGTGTGTGCATTTCTGTGTCTGTGTGTGCCCTGTGATGGTTTAGCATCCCATCTGAGGGGTGTATCTCCCCTTCCACCTGTTGCTTGCTGGATAAAGTCTGACTCCCACTTGGCCTTGTACTGAATAAAGCAGGTAGAAAAAGGATGGGTGTATATAGTGTTTAATGTGAAAATGTAACATAGGAATGACTAAAAACTCATGCACATTAATTGTAACTACTGACCTGTTTATCCTAAATTTCACCATGTTCCTCAGAATCCAAATTATTCACAATCTGAACAAAAATGGTTAATTCAGGAATTTCTTATTCAGATTAAGTATTTGCATGAAAACAAGCTATCCAAGTGACTTCCTGTTGTCAGTGATTAAGATAATTAGTTCAGAGATAGTCAATCCTGGTCCTTCAGTGCCAGGCTCCTGCAGGTTGGAGAAGAACCCTTTAAATTAACACCTGATTAACACAAATGATTTGGCTTCTTATCCACTTATTTCTGTCAATTATGTCATTGAAGTGCAAGCAGAATGAAAAGCAGAAAAAAGCTTGGCTCTCAAAGACTAGAATTGCCTTCCCCTTATTCTTTCAAAGCTTAGTTGAGATCACCATTTTCAACCTACATTGGTATTTTGAAGGTATCAATCAGAATTCTTGGAAATATTCTTGTAGGCTACAGAGTTTTTACCTTTTATTTAATTAAGCTTATTCAGTCTAAGATTTAATTTATGTCATTTATACTAATAAAACGTTTTTATAAACTGTATATATAATAACCTTTAAAATGGACAGACAATTTTCAGAGTGGAAAAGCAGCTCCTGTTACAGTATGTTGAGCAAACTTTACAAAAACAATGTCAGTCTACATTTAGTTACTGAAGGCAACATATTTTCATGAATGCAATTATTACATTTTTTTCCTCTTTATCTACTGTTAAATGTAAAAGGAATGCATCAACTCTTCAAGTAGGTTGTATGGCACCTGATGACAGTGTGGATATGTTCAATTAGATAATAAAGGGAGAATTACAGTCAAGAAACTTCAAAGGGCTCTCACCCTAATTAAATAAATCGGAGATCTGGGAGACTGTGGTAAATAAACATTTTTGTCCTGAAATTCAATTCTCACTGAATGTCAGCTCAAACAGACTACAGCTAAAGGTAATTCTCCAAAATGAGTTAGTTGGCTCCAAATTCCCATATAGTTTGTGCAACAAGGCTGTTTTTTCAAAATGAGTTTTTTTACCTCCTTTACCTCCTTTTTTTTCTTAATGTACTCTGTGTTTACAACTGAATAACAATGACAAAAAAAAGAACAATCTGAAGCTGACAAGCTCAAGGATATCGTATTTTAAAACAGACTGTGTGTAAGTATAAGAATGTTGTGTGAGTATTACATGCTCTACTTCCCTTAAAACTGAATGTTTGATGATAACGTAATGTACTGAAAAACAGTTATAAGGAGATGTAATTACTGGAGTATATGAGAGAAACAGTTAGCAATTTGCTGAATTATAAAGTACAAATGGAGAGCAAGGATTTTCTGACGAAAAACTAGGAACATTGAAATGATGAAATAATGCAAAAAACATGAATATGGCCTTGGAAATAAAAAGAGGCTTATAGAAGATATTAATTGGCCTCTTTGCAAGTAATAAATCACACAAGAAAGTTTCACAAGGTTGTTTTGTTGAGCCCAGTGAGTGTCTGCATGCACACAGCACTGCCTCCTTCATGGCTGACTGCATAGAAAACAACGCTACGTGGAAGAGACAAGGTACACTAGTGGCAGAATAATGCCAAATGCTGGAATCAAAGTTTGAATGTAAAACAGTGATTAATCATGTGTCTCCTGTTCCTCACAGTGCATTACATCTCTGTGCACTCCGGCCTGTTTTGAACGAGCTGTTAGCATCACTACTGGACCATGGAGCTGAGGTTAACAAACTCAATGATGAGCACTGCACTCCTCTGTTCTGTGCAGTGTGTGTGGCCAATCTTCATGGAGCCAATTTCCTCCTGAAGAATGGTAGAGTACTGCATTTCATATTTAGTGCTAAACCAGTGAAGGACAGATACTTCTAAGGATATGCGAAGGTCAGATTATACTATAGGTATGGTTCCTCTAATGTGAAAATATATAGTTCAGTAGCTGTAGTCCTAGAGAATCACACTCCCACCTGTTTTAAAAGGTCAATGAGCAAATCTGGAAAGCATGTTAAATCATACCAATTAAGAAAGGAATTAATCCAAAGAAGTTACTCAAAACTCAGCTGAAATAAAAAAAAACAAGAGTCCATTAAAGATAAAGATTGATCTTGTTTTGTTTTATAACTGTGTATTCTGATGTTTTACATTTTATACAGTTTATTAATATAAATGTCGATATAAATTAAAATTACAAAACTTACTTGATAATCCAAAAATTGCAGTTTGGTTTTTAGTTTAGTTTAGTCATCAACTGATAATTTTAAATGCTGTTTGTATGGTCTTTCAGCATTAAGGCAAAGTTATACATAGTACAACTATACATAGTTGTGTATAGTTCAACCATCCATTTTAACAGAACTGTACATAATACTAAACAAGGAATGGTTATTGGTGAAATAAGCAATGAGTGCATTTAAGATTTTGCTCTGCAGTCAATAAATCAATTCTAAATAACTCATGGTTTGTATAAGTTTGCATAGTTTGTTTTACAGAAGTTTAAAAAGGGGGTAGGACATCCTTACATCATGCTGTATGACAAGATGCATAATTTATTCAGGAATGTGCCATAATCAACAGAAAATTAATTAAATTGAGGTTTGATAGTTAAATCACAAGTGATGAAAAAGTAAGACACAAAATCAATGTTTTTTAACAATTACAAATGTTGAAATGTTTATGTTTGTGTTTACTCAGCTTATGTTAGCTTATGTAATTTAATGGTTCAGGTGGGTAGCTGCGTCAGCATGTGTAGGCTGCAAAGGAACAAGTAATAGGTTTATTCCATGCTGAAAAAAAGAAGAAAGAGAACACACTTGAAGAAGGCTCCACGGCCGAAACATTGTGTTCTCTTTCTTATTTTTTTCAGCATGGATTAAACCTATTACTTGTTCCTTATATAATTTAATGGCATCTCTTGTGCTTGTTGGCTCATTCCAGCCTTTAGGGTTCTAGGAAATTAAACTAAAGACAGAAAGAAAACACACATGATAAATAAGTCTAATCAATTTAACCAATTCTAAACTTAGAAAATGCATGTTTTATATGGAATTATAGACCACGGAATAATAACTCTTTTAAGTCACAAAATGTAAAAATGTCTGATTCAGTTATTGAAATGTATCCAGAAAGGTACCAAGGTTTCTAAAAACTGATGGTTTTAAAGACACATTTCATTCATGGTCCACTAGTTACAAAACCTTCTCAGTTAAAGAAAGTTTTACATTTTCATTACAATTAGATTACAACACTGATGAATTAAATTGGGGTTGGGTGGGTCAACATGTAAATGACTGTTCAGCCCACCAGGAAAGTAGTTTAATGTTCCTATTCTAGATGATCAACAACACCAGGTAGGTATTGCATCTTCAATGCATAGTAGTATACAATTCTTGGCATAAACACCATATTATGAATGAAGTGAATATTAATTACTATAGAGATTAAGGTTCCTCTCATAACCAGTCATTTACAGTATAAAACAGTTACTGTCAAAAGAGATGTAAATATAATTGAAATGTTGCAGCCTTTAGAATACTAATGATTAATTAAATTCAGCAATCAATTTTTTTCCTTTTTTTGCTTTATTCTTTTAGTACATTGTCAGTATGTCTCACTACAGTTTTGCAAAAACACTCTGTATTCATTGTTTATGGTCTTTGTTTATGACTCAAGTACCACCGCTATTGGAAAGGAACTAGATTAGCATTAGAGACCATAAAAAAGAATTTTACCTCCTTATGTATGATGATAAAAAGATGAGATAAAAAGATTTATCTGGGTTCCGGCACTCTTTTCACCCTGCAACACATTGGAATACCCCTGGCTTCAGCTAAGTAAATGTCATCTCATGACCAAATGAGCCAATTTACAGTACTGTGATGTATCCAAAAAAGAAAGACTCAGTTAAAAAAGATGAAGACTGCTCATGAGATATAACTAATGTAGTACAGCTTCTACATGTTTGCTCAGAAATCTATTATTGTACTGTAATTCTTTTTTATTTATTCAAGTTATTAATGAAGACTAGATTTCAAACTATTTGTCAGGCAGCAATAATACCGTTGAGAGACTTTTGAATATGGCTAATTTAACTTTAAAGTTTTTTTCAGAAATCATGCAAATGAAAACAAGTATATATATTATTCATTATCATATTGTTTCAGTTTAGGTTAATCACACACATATACCACATTTGAGTAAAGTATAATTATGCATATCTTTACTTATTTTTTATAATGTTTGAACCATTTTACTTATTTTGTAAAAATGTTTTGCTATTGCCATTTTTTTCCATTGAATTTAATATTTGTGCTTACAATATTCTCTTACGTCCAAGGCATGACTCTTCCATATCATGAATGCAAGTAACGTGAGGTACTTTTCTGCTTTACTTTGTTCTAGTTGAGCTCATAATTTCTTAATTAGTTGGATTATTGAATTAACTGGACTGGATTATCTTGCTTAATTTTGCCAATACAATGGTATACACAAATTATACAGTAAATGTTTAAAGATTAGTAAAGATTTATGCAAGAAGCATTTCCACTAATAACAACACTCTCTAATCTATTATGGTATGATGTATTGTGATGTATTGTGATCATGGTGTACTGAGGAAAGATTGCATGAAACTGCTAAATGAGATGCACTATAAAAGTGTTTGATACTATAAGAGTGTATTTCTTGAAAGTGGAAATTAAAGATAAATTTGACTTCTAATGTTATCAATTTTAGATTGAAAAAGCTAAGGTAATCAGTTGCACTGGATTACTTTTCACTACTTCAATTACCATTCTAAAAATCTCAAACTTTGTTCCAATCAGTGTACAGAAAATTTGTGATACTTAAGGCAAACAAAGAGATAGATCCGTGTCTGTCTATCTGTGTTCAAGTTTACACATCCAAAATTCCATGGAGCAAAGTGGGTTATTGTAATAACATAAATGATGTGTAAACCAGATCTAAAATGAAGAATTAAATCTAAAATGCCACCAGGTGTGTAAATACTGTATGAAGTTTAATGGAGTTATCAAGACTAGTTGGCTGAGGGGAATGACAGAAGAATGACAGAAGACTCTAACAGGAGAAGTAAAAATAGTGTTTAATAGTGTGTAAGTAAATAACAAGGTAAAAACAAATGGATCCATGGCCCACAGTGCCTTGCTGAAAGATTTGCTGATCACATACAGGCAGACCGCAGATGATAACTATCTGTCCTGTATCTAATAATCTGGCATATTCACGTGCTGAGTAAAGCCAAAACAATTTTTTACATTTCAATATTCTTCCAAAAAAGAACAATACTGAGAGTGGCTATGCATAACAAAATCTAAAATTAAACACGTTTTTATTTAAATAAAAAAAGCACCATGAACGACAAATAAGTCGTATAAACAATTTAGAAACAAAGTAAGCATTGGAGTGATCTAAAAACTGATACAGAGAAGAAAATTATGTTATTCAGACAGTGAAATGGCTACAATTCATGAAGCTCCTTCCCCACAATGATTAACTATATAGCGCATTTAAAGGTTGCTTTTCAAAGTGCTCTACAGAACTACAACAATGATAAAAAAATACAGAAGATTTGCAAAATAAGAATACACAATGAGAGGAGACAGTAGATGGGGATACTGAATACAGTAGGAGTAGAGGGGTAAAGAACAGAACCAGTTAAGTAAAGGCTGTTCTAAAGAAGAAGGTTTTGAGTTTTGATTTTAGGATAGAGTTCCAGAATTTTGGGGCATAACACTCATAGAGTGTAGACGGGCTTGGGGGAAATATAGGAGATCAGAATTAGAAGAGCAGAGGTTGCAAGGTGGAGAGTAGGACGATTGTAGCTCAGACAAGTACTGTGCTGCCAAGCCATGAAGAGCCTTATAGGTGAGCATGAAGTCGACATTTAACTTGACAGGGAGCCAGTGCAAGGACTCCAGGATAGGAGTAATGCGATTACATGCACTAGACCTGGTCAGGAATCTGGCTGCCGAACCAGAATTACTTTCCATTCTGCATTCATTAATCTTTTACTGCCTTGCTTAACCCTGTTGGCCCTGAAAAAGAAAGTGGCTTGATCTTTTTGCACTATATCTCATGAAAGGTGTTTTGAACAATTAACAACACAATAGAAGTTGGCACCAGTCATGAAGTGGTGTTTGGTAGCAATACTATCTGCAACATGATTTTAACAATGTTGTTTGTATAAGGCTCTCAATCAGCCCAACACAGCATGATTTTAACAATGTTGTTTGTATAAGGCTCTGAATCAGCCAAAAACAGCATGATTTTAACTATGTTGTTTGTATACGGCTCTGAATCAGTTCAACAAAGTGATGTGAGAACAGGTTTTTCAGTTCTCACACTAGAACTACGGAAAAACTGTCTGTGTTTCATGCAGTTAAGGCATGCCTATGTTAAAAAGAAAAGGGTGTAACTGCATGGAGGCTCCACAGGAGCGTTTGGATCTGGAAAGTCCAACAGACTGCATAGGGAGAGGATGTTTTGTACTGTATATCCTGTAGTGCACAGGGGTCTCACATGGAGGAGATAAATTCTTGTATGAGTCTCCATCAGAGTCATTTCTGTCATGTTTGACAAGTGTGGGACCCAGACGATTGACAAGCAAAGCCCTTTTCTCTGAACTGTCCCACATGGAATCCATTCCTACTCTGGACATTTAGGGAGATCCTACTTGTCTGTGATAGATAAGGGCCCAGTCTGTGATATATTGATCGCCGTCTAGCTTTTTGTTGGAGCTATAGATGGTGATTAGTGTTTTTGTTTCTGTGTTGTGGGAGTTACCAGAGGTTTTAGTATCTCCTTTTGTTCTCCACAGTGTTACAGGAGGGAGTTATCCTGCCCTGTCTTCTGTCGGTTAGAATTCTTTGAATGGGAACAGTTTTTTTGTTTTTTTGTGGTGGACTGAGTGACAGAACCACAATACAGAATATCGTGTCCAGAAAATGTAATATAAAAATAATATAGAAAATGTATACGACAATATAGTTGTATACAGAAATCCAGCTCTGGTTGTATTTACTACATTTCTTGTTCTGCTTTGATTCTTCCACAATTGTATTACATGTTTTGTTCTGACCTTTGAGTTTTAATTTTTGAAGCTTATGTCAAATCTTAATTTAGTGTCCTGAAGTGTTTGTTGTCTGAATTGCCCTAATTAGCATGTAAATGGACTTGATATTTTGTGCAGAGAGAAAATACAGTAGGTGTTTCCATGGGGTCAGAGAAAGGGACTGTGCAGTCTTAAGAGATAGAGGCTGGAACTTCAATGTACCATTCAATTTACCATCAGCTTTTTCTATTAGTTCATTCAGATTCTTTGGACCCTGCTGTAGGTTGGTTTGTGCTGAGGGGATGATTTTGCCACCCACAGGAGGTGAAGGGAGGAGGAAATTAATTTTGCGTGATAGGACATGAGGACACATGGGATAGAGTAGGGTTGTATTGGTGTTACAGTGTTGCATTCTTAGTGTTCTTCCACAAAATTAAAAACTTTAATGAACAAAATATTAAAAAAATACAGCAGGTATGGAAAGTGTTCTCACAGTTAAATCAATGTACACCTATCAGCCCATGCCCTCTACCACATATACAGTATTTCTCTAAACAAAGGTTGCAAGAGGAGGAACCTGATTTGGCAAAATGGTGTCATTTTTTATGATGATGTTTCACTGTTTCTAGTTAATTAATGAGTTTGGACATTTCTCATTAATAATGTGACTTCATAGTAAGCTCTTTTTGGTCAGGGTGAATCTTAAATATTGTTATTTTAATAGCTTTTTAGCTTTTCCAGAATCAGAGCTACTACTACAATATATGTTTTAATATATAATGAGACATTAAAAAAGACTGTGCACACTTATTTTGATCAATTCGATTTGATCAATGGCAGTGTATTTAGGCAGAGCAGAATACCTACAGTAGTTATCCAAAAAGAACTGATGTCACCATTTACAGTAGCTGTATCATGTATTTAAAGTTGTAGCCATACACCTATGCAGATATATGCAAACAAAAGTGTTTATATATGATTTTTTGATTAATTAACTTAATTGAGTAACTTCAGTTAGAATTAGATCCAAAAAACCCTGTGGCGATTAAGAACTGGGTTTTAGAGCTCTTTGTAAAAATTCTCAAACAGTAATGTGCAGTACATTGGTTACTGCTTTTGAAGACCCTAACTTTAATTCCTTTCTAAAATTCTCAAAATTTTCATATGTAATTAGCATTCACGGGAGTGAACTTAGAATCTGATCATTTGCATACCCTAAAGGAGGTAAGAATAGGTAATGACTATATGCAATTTTTTAACACATTGACCTTTCTGACATAGTTAAAATGAATTGCGTCAAATGCTTCTTCCTATGATTGTTTACCTATTTGATATATATAAAAACTTTATGAGTCTGTTCTGAAATTTCAGTAAGTTTGATTCTCTTATTACTTGCTGTGTATTTTATATGGGATTTGTAAACCTCAACTTTGTATGAGACATTATTTGTATTCAAATTTCAACTTTTTTTAAACCTAGTGATTTATGATTGTAGTTCTGTTCCTCGTGGAATTTGATCATGAAAGCCAGCAGGCATCCATGGCTTCAAAGCCACACAGCACTACTCCCGAGACAGTGGGGAATTCCCTATACCAAAAGGCCAGGCCTCTTGCCATGGGTGAATTCAACACCATCCAGGTTCCACGAGGGTGATGTTATCATTCAGAACAAGATCAGTGCCAAATGCACTACACTACTATTACACTAGCTGAATAATGATTGTCATCATGTCCTTATAATGCAAGAATTTGATAACTGTAAAAAATAATTCAGATTCACCTACAAGCTGAAAATGAGGTGTCATGCTTTTAAGTTCCTGGAATGCTCTTTCATAAGTCTTAACCAATGGGCGTTGAATAATCAAATTTAATCAATTTTCATTTAATAGGATGTTTACAGTGTTATTTTCTGGAGTCTAAGTTTATAGAATTTCCTTTTCAAAGAATGTTACCAGAAGTTCTGGTCAAACTGTAACATTTTTCCTCATTATAACATAAGTGAGCCTGTTCTTCATGTGTCTTTAAGAAAACTAACTTCACCACCACTCAGGATTGCTTTGGGTTTAATACTCCTGATAAAAACTACTGTATTTGTTCCGCAGGATCAGAGGTAATGCACAGAAATAATCAAGGACTTACTGCATTCGACTACATTCATAATTATGATGAATGGATCAAGAGTGGATTGTTCACAGAAGAAATAAATGCACTATTAAAAGGTACTGTACCAATACAGCAATATACAGTACAGTAGAAGAAACTGCAGTATTATAGGATGGTTCAAGAAAAAAGCATCTTACTGTATAGCATAAAAAGGGAGAAAAAAGAGAAGAAGTAAGCTAAAAGCATAACTATGATGTACTGTAAGCAACTGGTGCATACAATTCACTGATGGATGATATTTCCATATGTTCACTGTTCTGATTCAGACATTACATGACACTTTAGAACAAAACATTAACTCTTATCTTAATAATATACGTTGTTTATGTCTTCAAATGAATTATGCATCATTTGGAGAAAAAAGACAGATACTGTACTTTTTTATCTTTATTATGTAGAATAAAACGTTAGGATAATATTAATATATTTTTTGTGAAATTAATTTACAACATCCTGTAGCTATGCAATGTAACTAATGACCTACTATTGAATGCCAGTTTTCTGCTTTAAAAAACAGACATTAAGACAGTTTTATTCAATGTTAGAAATTTGCCATTTTGTACAATTTACAGTATACTCTTGATTAGAGCTCACTATGAAATGTGTTTGGTATAATACAGACACAAAAAAATGTTTGAGAAATGTATACATTATTATATACATTTATACAAGTATGTTGTATACAAGAACCTTATTCTGTTTTAGAATACATTAAGTGCACCGAAGCTTTGAAAATCTGGATCAAACTGATCATCTTGGAAATGATACTGTACTCAAACATTATGCTTTGCTTACCACTGTCAGGACAGATACAGTACTTTTGGACATTAACATATTGTTGCCACCTAGGCTCAGCAGGTTAACTATAAAAACAACACTATAATGTAAGAATGTACATATGAGGCTAGAATTCAGTGTTTTGATGTCTCCCCACTCTGTGACACCCTGGGACACACCAGCATTCCACCCGATCTTCTCTGTGTCCCCTGAGCACAGTGTTTCCCTCAAAAATTCACTTGGCAATAGGTTTAGCTTATTCGCCACATCCAGGTTCTCCTCATGTTCAGCGCAGTTCTCCATCCCTAGAAGAAGAGGGAAGTACTGCTGCTGCTTCTGTTCTCCATAGTGACTCTATTTTACTAAGGGTGGTACTCAGGCTCTGATGCCCTGTAACAATGTTTCTGAGGCCATCTGACAGCTCTTTGAAGCTAAAAGAGCTGTCTGAAGATTTCAATGCTTCAGTACCTAAAAAAGACATACTGTATAAAACTAATCATACAGACATAATTACATTGACCTGTAAAAGTAAAAAATAATTAATTATATGGAGTAAACTGCATAGTAACACATGTTTTATAACCTGAATATGGTTGACATAGTAACACATGTTTTGTAACCTGAATATGGTTGACCCACATTAGCCTGTCTTCAGCTCAAAGATCTTGGAAATGTTGTCTCTCTGACCATCCAGCATTTTAAGACCTGTACCCCATCTAAACCTTGAGGAGTTCAGCGCCAGACCACCAGGTTCCAGAGCAGAGTTTCTGAATAGAAATAGGGAATTTCTGAACTACTTGGTAGTTTCTTTAATGACAGCTTTAGAACACATATTCCTTCTTGTTGGTTATATATTGCCATTTAAAGAACATGGAGTTATGTCCATAACCTACGTTCCCTGAAATATGAACATTTCCACAGCACATATGGGTTGAAGCTTTTATGTTGAAAACAGTTGGAGGTCTACCTTGAGCACTGTGATATGCTGTAAAGGGGCTATAATAAGTGAAACCTTCAGTATTCAGGTTAATTCACTGCATTAACATTTTTGATGGCAATGTTTCAGTTTCAATAGTAGCATTTCAGTAGAAAAATGTATTGCAAAATTGGTATTTGTATTGAGATCCAAATCAGTTACCATTAATAGTGTTAAATCTAGTCTCATAATAAAATAAATCTACTATCCCTCATAATGGATACTTGTAGTTTTGGCAAACGTTTCAATATTTTGCTTCAGATATATTTTTTGAATAATAAATAATTCATTGATTTTTGCAGCATATTACCTTAAGCAAACCCGCTCACTTGTAAGAGGCATCAGCAGAAAGTTAAACCTGGAGGAGTCAAAGCCACGCAGTTTCTGGATCAATTAAAAGGCCTCCCAGGTGCCTACCTGCTGGGTCAAATCACAGCCCCAGCTCCTTTGTCTAACAGCTGATTCTGTTACACCAGAAGATGGACAAGAGATCAGAGCAATCAGACTGTAACAGATTTCAGTCAAGCAGCTTATTAAGATTCTGTGTGGTCATGAAACAAAATATTTAAGCAAATCATTTTTCCAGTTCCTTATCAAGAAAGCATCTAAAAGATTTCAATGCTTCAGTACCTAAAAAAGACATACTGTATAAAACTAATCATACAGACATAATTACATTGACCTGTAAAAGTAAAAAATAATTAATTATATGGAGTAAACTGAAGGAAATGATCATTGCTGTCTATTTGAAAATAATATCAATTTGTTGCAGAATGTAGAAATATGTATCCTTTTAAATATACTGTGTAAATGGTTTCTGTTACTGCATTCAGATGTACAGTATCATCCCGTCTGGTCTGAGTGTGGACACTCAAAGTAATGCTGATCACTTTAGGCAGCAAAATCTAAAAAGAAATTGTATCTGTAATACAAATTATACATTTATAAAATTCCACTCATAAATTATCCTGGTCACTACATAAAGCTGTGCTGTTCAGCAGAGTGGTAGTCGTATCTCAAAAAACACATGGTGTTTGCAGAACACTTCCAGTAAGTGATATTGTAAACATGTGGCAAAAAGGTTTTGTTGTCTGATGAGACAAAATTGGAAGTTTCTAATGTAAATGCAAAGATTTACATCTGATGGTAACTCAGAACAGGGCATCACTCTGTCAGCACCATCCCTACTGTCAAGCATGGTGATGGCAGCATTATGTTATGGGGCTGGAATTTATCAGCAGAGATTGGGAGACCTGACATCACTGGGGGGGGGGGGAGATTTGGAGCAACATGCAGGGAAATGTGAGGAGGCAAACCTGCTTCACTTTGCTAAAGACCTAAAACTTGGAACATTTCATCTTTCAGCATGAAAATGACTCAAAGCACAAGGACAAATAGCTTAAGAAGTAGAAAGTGAATGTCCTTGAATGGCCTAGTCAAGGATTAAATCCAAAAGAAAAGACAAATTTCAGAATTTAAAACTTGCGTTCCATCAATTCTACATAACCACAGTTGTGCAAAGAGCAATGGGTTTTGCAAAGAAGAATGGATTAAAATTGCACGATGTAGAAAGCGGAAAGATTCGTATTCACTCACAACTCTAATTGCTGCCAAAGGTGCTTCCACCAAATATTGACTCAAAATTGACCAAATTTTTCCATTAACACATTTAAGCTTTTGTTTAATTTTGCATTTTTCTTTTCACTAATAAAAGTGTTGAATTTAAGCAATCGTGTTTTGATTAAAAAAAACATTAATTTAAAAATGTGTGGACATCATTTGCTCTTCTACTGTACAGTACATCCACCATTACAAGGGGGTAGATAAGGCAGTGTAAATACATTCTTCTAATTGTCTGTAGGTAGGTATTATTACATTATATTGCACCATTATTTTCTTGTCTATAATCAATTGATATAAAGTACAGTATTGCAGCACTGTCGATATCTAACAATAGATAATAATGTTCTTATTTACATTATACTTGACACTGTTCATTTGGGAGCAAATGCACTAACAAAATAATAGACTAGATTAGATATGGAAACAGTTTAATTGATGATATTCTTTAAATCTTTTTTGTTGCTTGTTTTGTACTGCAGTATTTCTTGTGAGAATATCACTAGGGAAATATCATGCTGAAAAATCCCTGAAAATATATTTGGAACTACTGTATATGCAAACAAACACCAGTATAAAAATAATGATTAGAAACAATACTCCACGCTATATAAACCATCATAGTAATATGTTTTCTCTCCAGGTATTGTAACCTATTGGGGATGCCTTAATCAATGTAATCTATTAAAACGAAAAATAATAGTGCTTTCAGCAGAGAAAAGAGCCACAGAGCATCCCAAGGAAATTATGGTTGCCACTAGATTTCTTATTTCCCTTTATTGTTATTTTCATCCATCCATGTTTTAACAGCTTTATGCAACACAGGGCTACGGGGAGCTGGGGCCTATCCCAGCAAGTAAGATATACCCTAGACGGGAATTCAGTACATCACAGGGCACACACAGACACAAACATGCACATACTCGGGCCTATTTTCCCAGAATCCAGTTAGCCCACCAGTATGTTTTTGGACTGTGGGAGTAAACTGGAGCACCAGCAAAAAAAACCCATGAACAAGGGGAGTATATATAAACTCCACATGGACAGCACTCTAGGTCCAGAATTGAGCTCAAGGACTTGGCACTCTAAGGCTGCAATGCTAAGGACTGCACCACCATGCCACCCGCTATTGTTACGCTATTGTTACTGGCCAAATTGTTAATGCATAAATCTAACTTTCTGATGTGTCTTGTAGCAGATTTCTGTCTGTGTTAGAGTTAAGCCACTGTGAAAAAAATGCTTTAAGCTAGTCTTGAAATATCTGTAACAATAAGAGAAATAGTGATGCAAACTGAAATCGTGGGTGAATTTCCCTTACCAATGTAAATGCAAAAATTACCAGCAGGATGAACTACATAATTTAAAGAATGAGTCCCTGTTTTACTGAGCAAAAATGTCATTTACAGATAACAGCAAATAAATTGCATCCAACAGCTTTGATTCCTTTGATTTCTTCGATTTAATTTCTCAATATTGATTTTAAGGCCTTCCTCAAGTAACTTGTGGCCTCATTCTCACAATTTAAAAAAAGAGACTGGTTTATGAACAGGTATCTCACATTTTGATTTTACTGGGAACCTTAAGAGTTGGAAATACAGTATCTGACAGAATTGCATTGTATCGCTTATATTAAGGCACATGTGAATTAATCAGTATCATACTTTTTTAAACTACTCAAATGAGCCAATCAAGTCATTCTTTTCTGAAGGACGTAACCTCAGAGGTTACTTCAAGGAGAAGTTTTTCAGACCTGTGTTGTTGATAGGTTAAGAGAGGTAATTGAGAAGTCTCAGTCCTTCATTTTTCTCTGGGGTGTGCTAAAAGCAGTGCTTCAGCTTTTACAATCCTGCAATAAGGCTTTTTCTTGTTTTGCACATAATGGAGACATGCCCTATAAAATGGTTGTGTTCATTTTAATCTTTATGACATTTTGATATAGTCTAACAACTGTAGCTGAACTGGTAACTGAATTTTAATTGAATTACCCTATTTTCTAAAGAAAATAAAATAAACTACATGTATGTCAGATACAGATTCAGACGAATGTGCACCTGCTATGCCTACTGGATAAATTCATTCTGTTAACCTCTAACTAGATAATCTGCTTCATTGTTGTATTATAAAAATGTTATTTGAGGCAATTCATAGCCCTTTATTATGCAGTAAATCTGAATTGGAGAGGAAGTATTTAATTTACACTTGACACACTGTACTGGTGTAATCAGGAAAAAAAACATTCAAATTAAATAACCTCCTAAACTGCCAAGAAGTAAAATAAAGCCGACAGAACTTTGATCAATTGGAAATGCTGTAAATGGAAACAGCACAGTGATGGTTATTCTGGTCCTTTGGTATGTCATACATTTAAGATATGTGTATTTGCATAGTAAAGATGCGTATTATAGACATTTGGAGACAGAATCCTGCATTGGGGAGATAAGCATCCCAGGAACCTCTAAAGGAATTTGGTAGTGGGGATATAAACTTTTCTAAGAAAAAAGTAGAGCCTGAGTACAGTATGTGCACCACAATTTATGATTGCTATAATAATTCTTTTGTTACAAATTGTGCATTTAGCCGCACATTAGTAAAATTCTAAATTAAAAGAAGTATATCTACTGTATATGTGATAGGGCTGGTTAAAATACTGTGTATGTGAAATGCATTCTTGGAAGATGTGCATGTGCATGCTTTTGTTGAAGAATAAAATCAAGTTACAAGATGCCATTCAAGCTTCTTCAACTTTCATTTCCAACTCTAAATACAGTGTGCTCTAATTTGGTGAACTCTTTTCTGATTTTGCATTGTGCATTACTGGGGAACACATGTTAATATGAGTATACAGTAGTTTAACATTATTGTATTAATATATCATATTTACAGTAGATATATTCAATATATAATTTGTTCGATTTCAATATACTATATTATTTTCAATGTGCACGTTACATGATGTAGTTTGGATTTTTTTTTGTTCAGTCTGGAAGAAAATCGTAAATAAAATATTAATTACTGGCAATAAAAATTACATAACAAGGAGACTTAGTGGAGACAGCCCTTAGGAAAATAAACGACAGCGTTAGACCTACTGTATATACAATACATTAGAAATAACGCAACCATAAACTCACAATACAGTATATCTCTGATCTATTTTTTTCATTAACTTTAAAAGGGAATACGGAAACACTTCAGTGTGCTTTAAATTAGGATTCAAAACGGTCAGAATTAATTTCAATTTAATCCATACATTCCTTTATTACAGTATGTAGAATACTGTGTTTTAATAATAATTCTTTAGAAACTGTTGTTTCTTAATCACAAAGATTTGCAGGTTATTGTACTCGACCCACAACCCTGTCTATTGAGTACTGAAAGCACAGCCGTGGTGACGCCCTATACGAAATCAGCTTGGTCCCAAGGTGTGACGTCCGTCCTTAGCATCCTGATGCTCTACTCAGAGCTCTCTGCATCACCATTAACCCAATTATTCAACACCTGGTCGCAGCCAAGTGTTCATAGGGAGTAACCGTATGAGATGAGGTACTGTTAAAGTTCCCAAATGATGCTTAGTTCATACTCTTTGGATTTTTTTTGCCTAGTGCAAACATTTCACCAATGCAGAATCAAAAGCGCTGTATAGTAAAACCACCACATATCAAGGGAAATCTAAACCTAATTGGGAGAGCAGACGTGATTACTTCAGAATTTATTTAGAGACTGGTGGAAACCATTGTTTCAACGGGGGAGGACAGGAAAGATAGGTGGGCAGGTATTTTAATCGGAATTTTTATGAATGCCCGTGTTCAGATGATGAAGTATGGAAAACTATAAAACTGTATACTGACATTACGCCCTTCTATCATTGATAAGATAGCAATATAATACTGGAAAATCCACGTTTCGTTTCTGCTATAACATTACATTGACTAAATCACTATATAGAAAGTATAAATAAAACAAAATCAATCACCAGATATACTATGCGAATCCTGCCAGTCAGAAATACCACATCTGGTGTACATGCTGTCTAATATTTGTACATCTCATAATCAACTGCACATGTGATACATAACTGCGAGCGAGGCATACAAAACCTTAATGGCAAATAATAAAAGCTAATTTTTTAATGTGAAAGACTATTTTATAAAATGCAATACGTTTTCCCGATGCTTCACAAAATTCACGGCTGCAACTTTAAGATCCATCTCCCCTCCTTCGGCACAAACAATGGTCTATACCCAGCTCTGCTTCCTAAAGCAGAAATTGTAACATGCCATTTTTTTAGCAATGGACATTTTTTGATAAAATGGCATCGATAAACTGGTCATTATTAAGTTTTTAAAAATGCCAGCTGTGGATTTCGAGTTTGCGTATCCCCAGATTATTGTCTTTTACATCGTTGCGAATTTATAGTGAAGGTTTCTTGTTGGATTGGGTACAAATGATCCTGGAGTGGGCAACTGTGTGATTCCATTAGCTCACGGAGACTGCGGTTGTCATTGATCTATTGAGGGAGCGGACGTTGAAGAATACATTGTAAGTAAGAGTGAATAGTATTTTCAAAACTGTGAAATATTTCGTGTGATTTTCCTCCACACAACCCAGTCTTAATTTCTGAAACCCTTCCCATGCAAGGTATCTCCAAGGTGATCAGTAAGACCGCTTGCACAGTGGTAAGGAAACTTCTTACAGATGTGCAAGGTAGTGAATGAATGGGCGATGCTTACGAGAATGCACATTTGACGGATAAACATTTTTTTTTCTCTGTGATGTGTGTCGATATGTGTTAACGTGAAAAGAAAATATTAAATGGTGATACCGTTAAAATGAAAGAGATGAAGAGTTAAAGGGAAGGGTGGGAATAATGATGTAATGCAGCTGAGACAATGGCCAAGGATTTTCCTTTAATTAGCATCGCAGCTTGAGAGATGTTACTACTTCAATAACTGATATAACGTGTGTAAATTAGAAAACAAGCAATAAATTAGCATGCATATAAACCTTTTACCACTCCTGTTTTTCGTTATTCTTGGCTGATGATTAATCGCGCTTCTGTGAAATGAATGTTCAAGCTATATATGCACAACCATACGTACTGTAGTACGCACGTGCCTGTGTGAAGCTGAATAATTAGAGCATTCACATTAAATTGTGTCCAAAATGACTTCCAAGAAAAATAAAATACACGTTTCGCAGTTTTAAAAGGATTTTTGTAACTTAACAGGTATGTAAGGAAGGCACATTGTCAGAGAAGGAACCCTGAAAGCATTTTTTTTTTAAATCAGGCAGAAAGATACAAAATAATGGTAGTTTACCAACACTTGCCCTGAATAATAATAATAAAAAAAACAGAACAGTTTTCAAATACTTTATGTTTTAGGTGAAAGCTGTTTGAGTTGTAACAGGTGTTGGCTTTGCTGTACCTATACAGCGCTCAGAATCAGAAGTGACAATTGCCGAAAATACATAAATTTTATAGCAATTTAAGGCACAGTAAAGTGATTTTTGTAAATCTGGCAATTTTATTATAATGCCAAGTAGATAAATACAAGCACAATTCCTGTTGGTGTAATTACACTTTCCTAAAATATTAAATTAGAATAATAATAAAATGAGACTTTGTGGTTTAGAATTCTGTGAAAATAAAATGCATACAACAATATAAGGTCAAGTCTAACAACAGGGAAAAATGCATAATGTAGTATTATAATGTCAAATATTTTATTTATTCATGGCTTCTTTCATGTACACTTGATATTAAATCTGGAAAAAAAGTGGATATACCATACAAATTCTGCATTATCGATTAATTGCTTTTCTATAAAAATGAAATATTAATTACAATAGTATTATATTAATATGCTACAATGTCACTGGTTGTCAGGCAACGCATCAGAAAAGCCACACCGCCTCAGGGCCTATACAGTATAATTGTAGGCAATGATACCATTGTAGAGCATTAAATGTGTGTTGAACACTATTGCTCCTGGGAAGGAATTTTTCACATGACAAGAGCAGAGGAATCAAAGTTCTATTATGAAAGGTGGTCCTATTCGTAGATTGTTGTTCAATTTTATGTTTTGCCCAGTGCTGTATGTTTGATTTTATTATGGTTTATTATACTGATGACAATAGAAGAATTGCAGGATAAAACTCTGGACTCAGTGATGATTTGATTAGGGGTTACATTTTGTTCAAGAGCATTATAATACACATCAACACAAAAAGCAGTCTCAGACCCATGTCTACTCGGAAATCTTTGCTTCTTCCTTTTTCCTTTTTTTCAGCAATAGTTTCCAGTCTCTTCATGCCCATTTAGACTATAATGTGTTGACGTATATTAGCATTTTATGAAACCCTCTCAACATCTACATTGGTGCAAGACATGATACTGTTGCACAGATCCAGTACTTAATTGTCAAGAGTGCTTTTTTATGGTAGGGCTCTATATGTCTCTCTGTACATGTTTGTGTTATGTGAGTATCTGTTTTTATTGGCTGTCGTATGTATGTCTGTTTTTGGTGAAAGCAGAAGAGAATGTATGCAGGTGTGCCTTTTTAAATAATATCTCACTGACCCTTCTGGGTCAGTGCAAATGAGATCTGAGCTTGGTTTAATGCAATCTGTTTATGTGTGTTTTATTAAATCTTCATCGATTGATGGATTACACGACTGTGCTGCCTTGCGATAAAGTTAGTTAAGGCACTCCAAATATAAGGGTGGTTTACTATTACTATTGTTTAGACTTTCCATTCACCCAATATCAATTATGTGCTTATTATGATGAAACCTAAATTTCTCCTTCCACAAGACCCTCTCAGACACTATACTGCAAAGATATTTTTATAACTGTACAGTACAAGTGAATGTATTTTTTAATGCATCTACAGTATTTTTTATGTCTTTGATTGCCTTGCGAATTAGCAACTAAAGTATGAGAGCCTGGCTTGTTTTTCAGTCTGTTAGCATTTTTAAAAATGCAGTTTTCACGTGTATTTGGTAGAGACGTACAAATAATTTAAAACCAATTATATTTTTGAGAATGCAAAAATATCAGTTGTTTGGCTTGGGATCACAATATGATTTATACACACTTGCTTTCGTTTTTTTTTTCAATTTAAAGTTGAAAGATTTTTGTCAAATCTTATTTTTCTACTTCCTTATTTCTGTGTAATATGCACTGCAAATTTGACTTTGCACTTCAAATACTGAGAACACTAAGAAAGAGAAATTATATTTTGAATTCCCTTACAAATACAAAATGATGAAAATATTGTGGAAAAAAAGTGCACTCTGTTCATTTTCCTCAAACATTGCAACTGTTCAAAACAATTTTTGTGACAGATTATTCTTTCTGAAAAACACAGAAGAATGAGCTTTGGATAAAGAGTAAAAGACGCACATCTGCCAGTTAGTGCACATTCTACGTATACAAAACAGAAAGCTTAAGTAACCTGTTTTGGTTCCTTAATTCATTTATTAATCAGTGATGTAACTGTGGATTTTGTGCTATAGGAATTTTATAGTCAAGGGTGTTAAGAGAATTAGATTCCCATATTGGATTCTTCAATACTTGTACTTTTCCAAAGGATCTTTTCCAGGTGCTAAACACACGATTTCTGTCATTATATTTATTTTATATACAGTGTAGCACATTTTATTTATCTTGGATCCGTATTGCTTTTGTCAGTAAAGTGGCACACGGAATGGTTTTTATGTCGAATCATATCATAGCAGTGGGTTGTTTCCAAGTTCATTCTTGTGACTAAGCTTACAAACAAACAAAATTCAGTGACCATGGAGGCTAAATGGTCTTGCTAGATTATGAATTCAGAAGCTGTATTGAATAATGCAACTCACATGGTCACATGTTCAAACTCAACATTTGCCTTTTCTACCCATCACGTTTGGATGTGCGATCACATGAAATGGATGACATTTCTAAAGTACTGTATTGTAGACTAAATTAAGGGCGGTAAAAAACAGCAGCCACAAATTGGTGCATTACAGGGGTTGGTAAAATTATTAAATAAATTATCCAATCATGTACACAATCTAGGCCCTGATATTGGCTTGCTCTGTTTGCTATAAAAGATGAAGAATGTTCCCTCCTTAATTTAGTGAATACCAAATATGAATAGGTTGAAACCAAGACTGCACAAATAATTATTAACGTATTAACGCAGCTATACAACACAAAACATTACATAACATACTACAATTACACTGTGAACACGTACAGTATTTATAGGGCAGTGAATAACCAAAGTTCTGACTTCTACAGGCATAGAAAGATCTGCATTCTACCCTTGTAATCTAGACCGTAGGGTCGACAGCCTTTCAGAAGGGGCATGCCAAGAGTTAGCTCATTGCATTTATTTTTACAAAGTTGTGTTAGTCTCAATAGTTGCCTTACATACATTGTGATTAAAAAAAATTAAATATTAAAATGTGTTAATTTTAGATATTATTATATTAATATGCACCTCTTATCATTTATTGTGATCCTTCCCCTTGCTGAGTTCTCCAATCTTAGGCTAGTAACAGAATTTGAACTGCCTTGTGAGTCAAGGCACACTGGGCAACAATAAAATGTACTATTTTCACCACTGTAGTCATCACATTATTAAGGTCATGATTCAGAATCTTGGCACAGAGATTTTCCTTATTAAGAATACAATGTAAATATACCATGAGGTGGCCATTGCGAGCTGCAATGATCTTTTTATGAAGCATTTCTGGTTTCTGACCATAGCAGGGGTACTGACAATCAGTACAGAAAATATGTTCTTGATGTCAGTTCCGTATTCCTCAAAACGATTAATAAACATCTTAGCTGTATCTTCTCCTGTAGTTGTGCAATGCATGGGTTTTAGGCAGCACAGTTCTTCTCAATTTCCATCTGAGTCACAATATCTTGCAAGAATTGCTAATCGCTGTACAGTTGTTTAAATCCTCACAATCGGAGCAGAAACAGCATGGCCTATATGGATGAATACTTATCCATATTCATCTCTCCAAAAGGGCTGAAATGAGCAAACATCTAACTTTACTTTCTTAGAAACTGTCATTTTGTCCAAAATGTTTGACTTTATACTTAAATGTGAAAAATATTATCACTGACACAGATTCCCTGCTTTCCTATGAATACAATAGGCTAGCCCCACTAAAAATAATGCAGTAAATAATCAAGTGAATATTTTTTCTACACCAAAGAGCATTCATGGGGTAGCATGAATTGCAGAACAGTAAAACATAGTTTTAATTGTTTTTTAACTTTATTTCTTCATGGCTTATTAGAATTATATTGCACGTGCCGATTTCATTGCATGTGCCATTAAAAATCCCTTTGCATGTCTACAATGACACGCTTGCTGTAGGTTGTCAACCCCTGATCTACACACTAAACACCTTACAAGGCAAAGAGAGAACCCACATCCTACAGTAATAAATAAAAAGGTTCTTAGCCAGGACTAAATCTCTCTCTCCCTAAAAAAAGCTGCTGGCAAATTAATGGGAAATAATTTCCGCATTCT